GTAAGAAAGCTCAGGACATTAGGTGGAGAAGAAACCTAGGCAAAGTGACATGGCTTCTTTCCTGCTCCATCCTCCCTCCTTGAAGCTCACAGGCCAATCAGTTATGTTGTTAGAGCCTGAATGGACCCATATGGGGGAAGCCCGCCCTAGATCTCAGCGCACAGGCCCCTCCAAACCTTGTGGGCTGCCCAGTCCATCCAGCCCTTGGCATTGGGATCGATGTTGATGAGGACAAGACCCTCGACAGTATCCGGGTGGGTAAGCTGAGGGGCAGTAGAAGGAACGGAAATCAGAGGCATACATGGCCTTACCCCTCCCCGGTGAGCTCCATCCACCCCAGGCTGCACGGGGCCTGTTTCCCCACCCTCTTACGCACGTCCTCCCCTAAGCACACACTAGTAAACAGTAGTCTGCCTGGGCCTTGGACCTGCCTTTCCCTCGTCTGGGGTTTTTTATTTCTTACAGCATATCGCGACAGGACGTAGGCCCCAGCTCCAACACCGACTCCAATTATTGTGGAGAAACTGTGAAAGGGAAATGTAGGTCTAATGGGTCCTGGTGTCCAAAACTTTGACTCTCCAAACTCCTCACCCTCCTTCCCAAGGCCACAGGCACAAAGGACAGAAAGGGACCTTCCTTTGGGGGATGCTGAAAAAGAAGGTGCCAAGGAGCTAAAAATGGACACTGGTGGTCAGCGTCAGTCCCTGAAGTCTTCCCCCAGCTCCCTCTGGGAGAGTGAGTGTCTTGAAAAGAAACACCAAGCAGACACTGTTTCCTATGTAGCTGTTTGTCCATCCTCAACTTTCAGGAGCTAGTTCAACTTGTTCTGTTTTAGTTCCTGGTTCCTCTAGAGAACTGGGAAGAAGGGAACTTGAAGCAAGATGTTAAATAAAAGATACAACTTTCGTGAACAACAGGAAGAATGGGGAGAAAGAGAGCCAAAGGGTGAACCAGAGCTGCCCAGGGCCCTGGTGCCCAGGAAAAGCCAAGCCAAGGACAGAGCCCCACATCACCAGCACTAAATGTGCATCAGGGAGGCCTTGCCTGGTTTCTTTCTTTTCCTTCTCCCACTCCCCTCACACACACGGTGCCGAGGGCACCAGGTGTGTGTCTGGAGGAGGCAGAGGGGGTGGGAGGGAAAGACAGGTCTGTCTGGTTCCTCGGGGATTGTGTCACCCCCTCCTCTTTCTTCTCTAGCTTCCAGATCAGAGAAGCCCCTCCTCAGCCTGAGGCAGGGCCAGGCACACAGCTTCCTTTTCTTCTCCTCTATCCCTTAGGGCTACTCTGCTGACTCAAGTCAGTTTTCCACACCCACCCACTTCCTCTCAACAATCAGATTGGAGCGTGGAGAAGGGAGGATACTTCTAGTCCACACAGAACTCGCCCAGGAGCCATGGTGGGCACAGGAGCTCTAAGGGCCACCTTGTGCTGGAAAGAGAACTCTGGCTTGGAGGGGTCCCCAGGCCTCTCACTTTAAGTACTGCAGGATGCAAGGGATCATGTCCGCAAGCTGGTCCAGAGATGGGTACTGATATCTGGGGAAGAAAGGAATGTTGAGGAAAATAGCAACCTGCCCTTACGGCCCCCACCTCAAGTATCCTACTCTTCCTCTCCCAGAATTACCACTCGCCCTCCCTTCCTTCTTCCCCGGTCCAATCTTCTCCATGCCTGCCATGTGCCTCACAGTCTGATGAGGAGGGAAGGAGCTAATTCTCACCCCAAAGGGAACACGGGAGCCCCCTCTTCCATTCCAGGGGCATCCACGTGAACCCGCACGAAGTTCTGAATGATTTCCTGCATATCCGCAAATTGAAACAGCGGCTGGAAGCAGGATTTATCTAAAGAGAATCCCCATCGCCCCAAGAGTAGAATTAGACAGGGAAAATATCCCCAAGTCAGAACCCACCCTCTTTCTTTCATGCCACAGTCAGGCTAGGAGAGAACTTTTCCTTGACATGCCACATGGCTCCCTTCCCATACTGACCCTTCCCCTCACACTGACCAGGGTTTTACCCTTCCCCGCAGCCTCTTCCCAGAAAGAAATGGGAGGGGAAGTGAAGGTCCTTACAGTTGAGTCCCACATCGTGGTAGGTGAGTATCGCTGGGCGTTTGGGTTTGGGGGTGCCATAGACAGTAAAAGTGATGGAGCCATAAGGTGTCTCCACAGAGTGAGTCTGCAGGAAAACAGGTCACACCATCAGGTAGGAGTTAGGCTAAGAGGAAAAGAGGCAGGGGAGGAACCTCCACAAAAGTCAGGGAGTTGAGGGGAGGGGGGAAAAGAGAGGAGACGGGAACCAAAAAATAGAAACAGGATCGGCAAGAATTCAGTTTAGGTAAAAATGACACTGGAAGATGATTTTGAGGGTGGAAAAGAATAATGAAAGATCGCAGAGCATCAGGGAACTCTGAGAAGGGAGGAGAAGGAACGAAAGGGAGAGATGGGGACAGGAAAGGACTGGAATAGAAGGAGAGGAAGCAGAGAGGTGAGAGAGCCAGGTAGCGGCCCTTTCCTTCCTGGGGAGAGGACAGCCCCTCCTCCCACCTGCGGCTGCCCCAAGCTGTTACCTGTCCCTGGTCCAGGAGGATTCGGGCAGCTAACTCAGCCTCCTGGAGAAAGACACACACGGACAGATACACACAGAAACACACAGCCACGCAGAGTCAGATGGAGAGACAGATACAGATAAAGAAAGGTAGGTAAAGAGAACAACAGAGACCAAAGACAGAAAGAGATTAACAAAAAGAGACACGTAGTGGATGAAGGTTAGCGTAGTTACAGGACAGAAGCCTGGACTCTCAACTGTGGTGTATGGGGAGAGAAACGCGGGTAGACGTGGAGAAAGCAGGGGTGTGGTTAGACGGAGATCATGGATTTGGGAAGGTAAGGAGTGAGGGGGATGCCTGAAGGTCTGGAATTCGGGCCTGGGAGTCAGAGGGTCTCTGATAACCTTGGCCACCTCAGGTGTCTGCCCCGGCAACAGCGGCTTCTCCTCCGTGATCTGCACCTCCTGCAGCTCCGCCATGGTGGCCTGGCAGGGTGAGGAAACACGGAGACTGGGGAGGCTGGCTCCATACCCCCGCACCTCCTCGAACAGCTGGCTTCCTCTCTCAGCCCTGGACAATAGGGCGCAGAGGGCCCCAGGAGCTGAGGACTACTCCGGGACACAGAGAGAGCCTTTCCTGCCCGCAGCTCCAGATCCAGGCAGCTGGGGAGGAGGGCTTGTGCAGGAGGGCTCAGGACACCACTTCCTTTTAGCCTGGCCACCCCCAACACCCCTCAACACCCACACCTCCGGACCCCTCTCCCCTGTCCTGGATGGAAATACCAGAGTGGGGCAGCAGTGCAGCTCGGGTGTCCCAGGCTATATTTAGGGGCCACCCCACACTCCTAGTTAGGTAGGGGGTGAAACTCGTGGCTCAGTGACTGGGTACTCTAAAGATACTAAGGATGGGTAATGAGAGTTCACCATGGACTGTGACCTTCAACTAAAGCCCCAAAGTCAGCAGCGCAAAGGGAAAGGGGCTAAAAATGACCTGAGTAACATGACCAAGAGGGGGAGGGGGAAACAAGAACAGAAGGACAAGGGACATCTGTGTCCAACTGACTCAGTGCCTCCCTTCCTCTCAAGACTCTTCTTCCTGACTGTGAATAAATTAGCATATATTCAATCTTTGGGACCAGGGCAAGGAGCAGAGCACCTGTGCAGACCAGCACAGTAAAGGGCCAGCAGCCTGGGGGTGGGGTCACTTACTGGGCTCCTATTGGCTGTATGCAGTGGGGTTAAGGGTCAGGGTTCTCACTCCTCCTGGCTCTGGGGTCTGAGAAAACAAGGCAATGAGGTGAATGACATGGGAGACAGACCCTGGGTCTTTTAGGGACAGAAAGCCAAGACCTGGACTACCTGGGTCACCAACCCTTGCCAGGTCACTAACCCTCCCCAATTTGTACCCCCAAGTCCAGTGAACAAGTCTTCCCTAGGCTTCAACTAGAATCAGTACAGGCTGGAGGGGTCTTCGGGGCAACACAGAGAGCAGGTATCAGTCCAGGCGGGGAGCGGGGGGGAGGCTGGGAGAGGAGACAAGGAAGTGCTGATGTGGAGGAAAGAGCATGGCTTGTGTCAGAACCTCTGGATTCTAGTCCGAGGTTCTGCTGCTACCAGTGTGACCTTGGCTCAGCCTGTCACTACTCTTGCCCTCAATTTCTCATTTGCAAACTACAAGTGGGGACTAGGGGATCCCCAAGATTTTTGACAGCTCTCGAGTGAGATGGGGTAGCAGAGCACGGCTGTTTCTCTCCACTATTTAAAAAAAAATTTTTTTTTAAGCCTCGTGCCTTCGCTTCTCTCCTCCACCCAGTCTCGGTGTGGGTCCGCGAGTGGAGAAGGGGTGAGGCAGCGGGGAGTGAGGGGCGGTCCCACAATCTCTTCCCAGCCTGCCCCGACGACCTGCAAAGGCCGAGCGCCGGCTGGGAAGGGATGAGTAGGACAGAAGGGACTGACTGGGCCCAGCCCCCGGGACCTGTCCCTACGAGTCCCTCCGCTGCGCGTCCGCGTGGGGACTGACAAGCTCGCGCGGCTGGCGCGGAGCGCCCTGGACCCCGGACACAACCTCGCGCACGCCCCAAACACGCCCTGCAGCCCGCGGAGCCTCCGCCTTTGTGCGCGGTGGCCCAGCGGCCCTCCCGGCGGGCCCCTTCCCGCGAGCCGTCATCTCCGAGGGAGCGGGATCAAACCGCACCCCGCCTGCCACCGGCCCCTTCGGCGCCAGCCAGGCCCCGCGGCCCCTCGCCCGCCCTTCCCCCTACCTGCTGCTGCCGCGGCCGCTTCCACCTTCACTTGCCTTTGACTCCCCGGCCCGCCCCGGCTCGGGCTCCCCACAGACCCGCCCCCGGCCCGCCCTCGCCCGCCCACGGGCCGCCGGATCCCAGCAGATCCGCCCCAGATCCCCTTGTAAACACGCCCCCCTTCCCCCCGCCCCAGGCTGCCTGCCGCTCTGGGAGGGACTGTGCTGGGGGCCCGAAGGGAGCTCTAAGGAAAGCAAACTGCTGGGTGCGTCCAGGCTCCGGTCCCGGCTACCCGCAACGGGGCGGCTGTGGGGTACGCGGGGATCCCTTAATCCCGCGGGGGATCCCCACGCCCGCCCGCAGCACTGCGCCCGCCCGTGACCTGGCTCTGCCTGTCGCACTCAGGCTCCTTACTTCGCCCCCAGACTCCGAGGTGGGGACGGGTAAAAGGGAGGCGAATCCAGGGCGCTGGCATCCCACGAATTTGACTCCACCCGTCCGGAAACAGAGTACTAGGTTAAGGGAGGATCGCTGCTGAGGAGGCGGGGGTCTCGCCCGCTGGGAGGGGAAGGTGTGCCTGCGCGGACTGGGCGGTGGGGGCTGGAGGTGGGAGCGTCGAGGGCGCAGGAGTTCCAGCTCGGGGGCTCCCAGGGCCCTTGGTACCTCCTCTCTCTCCGCAGTGTCCCGACGCCTTCTCTCCGGCCGCTCCCTGAGGAGTTGGAAAACAAGGCGGGGAGGGGGGGACGGGGAGTGCGGGGGGCTGCTATAAATAGAGGGAGATCGCGGGAGCGGGGGGGGGGCAGGGAGAGGATGGCCAACGGGGACTCCCGGGTCAAGGCCCCAAGGGGGGGCGGAGGAGGGGCCAGGGACCCCCAGGGGTTCTGACTCTTGGGTAAACAGGCGCAGGGGTGGAGTTAACTCTGTGGAGGTGGAGTGGGGGCTTGGGGAGGACGCAGTGTCCTGGGCTGGGACCCAAGAGACCCTGTGGCTTCCGAGCTAACCCCTTCTAGTCTGGCCCAGAGAAGGACGGTGAGGCCAGCTCGGCCCGGCGGAATCGCATTGCCCAGGCGCTGGTTTCTCAGGCACTGCTGCGTCTCTCAGGGCCTGGGTGGGTTTGACATCCTGGACCCCTCACTCGCCCTGCCCTCCCCCCCACTTATATGCACCCTCCCTGTGCCCCTAAGAGGAAATCCACCCAGAAGGGGATCGTTATGTGGCTAAAGGGATTCAAAGTTGTCTTAGACAAAAGGACACCAGTCTGAATTTCTCCCCACCTGCACCCTTTCCAGGCCCCCTCCCCCCCTGAGGTCCCCACCCTATCCTCCTTCAGCCTGGCTCCCAAGTTGCCATTTCGGGGGCTGGGCGCCAGGCCAGTTGGGAACAATGGCCAATGGAACTGGAGCTGCCAACTGCAACACCAGCTCAGACTGCCCCCACCAAGACCCCCAAATTGCCTGCCCCCTCCTGCCTGGGAACTGCCCACCACCACCACCCTCACCACTCACGACCCAATCCCATCCAAGGAACATCAATGCCCCTTTCATCCCCACTTGGCAGGGTCTGTTGGAAAGGAGGGCCCAAAAGGGAGGAGGTGACCCAGAGTAGAACCGGTCAGGATCAAGCCCAGCTTTCAGCAGCCCCACATCTAAAGGATCTCCCCTAGATCCCCCAATTTGGAGCACCCAAGTTTTCCTCCATTCCTTTCCCTCACTCCCTTCATAACTATTTACCCAGAAACTGGCACAGAAGCTGGGTACCCTGGCTCCTCTCCTAGTCCCCTCTCCCCTCTGGATGTCATATTAACACTCTCCCGGACAAGGAAAAGCCTGCTGGAATTGGGACTGTAGATAAAGATGCATAAGACAGAAGAGAGATTTCTCCAGCCCGACTGCAACTGGGGGAGAAAGAGAGCCTAGGGTGAGAGCTTCTGCCGGCAGCCTCCTCTGATGTGTCTAAAGTAGTGTTACTTGGAGTGGGGGAGGGAAGGACCCGGAGGTTCCAGCATCTAAATTCGTCTCTGGGTCAGGATGACTCAGGGGGAACCTGATAAGGGGCCAACGCAGGGGCGTAGGGCAGACAGGAGTTGGGAAATTTCCACTGGGATCTGTTTGCTTCCTAGGCTTGGGGTCTCAGCCTGCCACAGGCAGTAATGAGGCTGCTTCTGATCTAAGATGGGGTTCCTCCTTGTCAGGGCAGGTCTCAGCCTGGCCCAGTGTCAGTGGCCCGACAAGAATACTTCTGTCTCTAATTTCCTTCTCTTGGGCCAGAAACAGCTTCAAACTATACCTTCCAGTAAGCCACAGTTTTAAGTACCTGCTCCATACAAGCCACTGTATAGATGGAATTCAAAGAAGTGTGATGTCTAGTCATACCCTCTCTAGAGCATAGGATCCAGTAGTTGAGTGAAGGTATAAAGATAGAAAAAATTAAGAAGTGATGTAAATATAAATTAATTGTTTAGACAATAAGTCCTATAGCAATAGTTTCCCACCCTTTTCAAGTGGGAGATCAGAGATTTCCATTTCCAAATGAAGGTTTTAGAATCCCCTGATGGGGACAAACCGTGAATTCAGCAATACTTTCAAATAAATTTGTTCAGTCTTCTGATAATCGCAACATCTATGCATCTATGCACCTACATGTGCAAAGCTTATTATTTACTCAACAACCAGTCTTCTGTGTACATACAGATTGCAGAGGTCCTTGCAATAACTCAGAAACCCTTGCCCCAGGAGGCTGCAGCCCACAGGCTAGGAACCATTATCTTAGTATAATTCAGAGGAGGAAAAGGGTTGGTTTTCTTTTAAAGCAACCAGTGCTCAAGCTGTTTCATTTTGGGCTTTTTAAATGAATTTATTTTTTACTTATTTACTTTTGGCTGCGTTGGGTCTTTGTTGCTGCGCACGGGCTTTCTCTAGTTGTGGCGAGTGGGGGCTGCTCTTTGTTGCGGTGCACAGGCTTCTCATTGTGGTGGCTTCTCTTGTTGCGGAGCACGGGCTCTAGGCGCGTGGGCTTCAGTACTTGTGGCTCGTGAGCTCAGTAGTTGTGGCTCATGGGCACCAGAGAGCAGTCTCGGTAGTTGTGGCGCAAGGGCTTAGCTGCTCTGTGGCATGTGGGATTTTCCCAGACCAGGGCTCGAACCTGTGTCCCCTGCAATGGCAAGTGGATTCTTAACCACTGTGCCACCAGGGAAGTCCCAGGAAAAGGGTTTTGTTCCTAGGGTAAACCCTATGAAGAGTACAACAATGGAGTACTTGAGTGGTAAGGAGGGGCATTCTATCCAGGCAGAGAGAGATCATGAAGGAAAGTTTTGGGACAGAAATACACAAGTTACTAGGATAAATTGAATAGTAGCTACTATGTGCAAGGTAATTCCCATATATTATCCCCTAATACTATATAAAGTAAGTACTATTGTCCTCACTATACAGATGAAGAAATTAAAGCTCAGAGATGTTTAGTGACTTGCCCAAGGCCACTCAGCTAGTAGATGACTTATCTAAGACTGAAATCCCCAGATTCATTCCACTCCAAGGTTATTCTCTCTCCACTAGGCTTCAGGTAGCTTCTGAAGCATATAATGATTAGGCCATTATGGCCCCAGATGAAGAGTAATGTTGATGAAAGGTGGGTGATGTTTGGTAAGGTAGAGTGGAGCCAAGTGTGAAGGTCCTTGAATGACAGGCAAAAAGGTTTGGCATTTCAGAAAGGTTTGAAGATCCATAGAGTGTTCTTGAGTAGGAGCAATGGATAAATAATTGTTCTGTGAAAATTAATCTGATGGGGGGTTTAAAAGAGATGGATTATGGGGTGGATAAGGGTGAAGCATTTGACTTAGGAAAGAGGTCATTTAGAAGTTAGGATAATCAACTAGATATGAGATGACAGGGACTTGAATAAAGTGTGGGAGGAATAGCAATGGAAAGAAAGGAGTGGATTTGTAAGACAAGGGAAATTATAGGAATCGGTGACTGATTAGATGGGAAGGAGAGGAAAGTCGCCAATCTAGTTCCTCTCTTTTAGGGGCCCTGAAGTTCATTCATCTGTATGGTTTCCAGCCAGAGAAAAGACCAAAGAGAAACCCCTTCTGAAAGAAGAAACAACACATTTAGAAAAAACTGAATAAAATTATAGCATTACTTTAAAAGAAAAGTGGGGGGTGGAATCCCCTGGCGGTCCAGTGGTTACTCAGTGCCTTCACTGCCGGGGCCAGGTTCAATCCCCACAAGCCATGCGACGCAGCCCAAAACAAACAAACAAAAAAGGAACATCCTTGACCTGCACAGAAAATTATCTAGAGTCTGAGGCTCAACCTCACCCTGACCCACCCAGATGTGTGACCCTCCAAGGCCCGTGCTCTTTCCACGTGGGGCCCAACTTTGGAAGCCATTTAAGCTCCTATTACACCTGGTCTGCCAAAGCCAGCGGGATTCTCCACGTTGGTCACGAACCTGGGCCTGGAGACTAGAAAAAAGGACAATGTTGGACTGATGTCAACCTGTTTCCATTAACTCCTTCCCTGAGCTCTCCTCAGCTTTTGTTGAGGGACAGAACATAAGGCAATTTGATCAAGACCCAGAGGACTGGGTCAAGCGGGGCTGAAACCATGAGGGAAGCTTGATCACCTGCAGAGATCAGGAGGTTGGCAACATGCTCAATGCAGCATGCAAGGTAGGGACCTAAGAACCCCACCCCCAAAGGTTAGGGCTGTAGCAAGGGCTGAAAATTATGTCACAGAAACACTGCTGAGGTCATAGAAACTTCCCTCTTCTCCCCAGTCTTCCCACTGCCACACAGTCTCCCCAGCCAGCCGGCTCCCACAGATCTGCACACACTTACTTACAAAGGCTGGGAAGGGTCAGACACCATCTGGGTACTCTCAGGTACACAGAAGTGATGGGGCAGTGGGTGGTGGTGGTGATTATTCAGTATGTAGGATCCACACTAGTATCCCTTGTACTGGGAACAGTAGGTCAGATGGGAATCAGAGGGAAGGGGGGAGGGAGGGAGAGGGAAAAGGGGGTTTGTTCCTGTTGCTGATTCTGATTTTACTTTTTTGTTTTTATAGGATTTACTCTTTTTTTTTCTTAATTAATTAATTAATTTAGGGCTGTGTTGGGTCTTCGTTTCCGTGCGAGGGCTTTCTCTAGTTGTGGCAAGCGGGGGCCACTCTTCATCGCAGTGCGCGGGCCTCTCACTATCGCGGCCTCTCTTGTTGCGGAGCACAGCCTCCAGATGCGCAGGCTCAGTAGTTGAGGCTCACGGGCCTAGTTGCTCCGCGGCATGTGGGATCTTCCCAGACCAGGGCTTGAACCCGTGTCCCCTGCATTAGCAGGCAGATTCTCAACCACTGCGCCACCAGGGAAGCCCCTGATTTTACTTTAACCTTCATCATTATTACTCCTCAGTCCTCCCTTCCCCTCCTCCCTCACCCCCGAGTCTCCCCCCATACTGTCCTCCCCCACCTCCAGTTGACCATGGCATCAGAAGCAGAAAGAACATTCCAGCGGTTTGCTGTCTTTGGAGGATCGTCAAGCAGTGGCACTGAAATGAACAACAAGAACTTCTCCAAGCTGTGCAAAGACTGTGGCATCATGGATGACAAGAGGGTCACCTCCACTGACGTGGACATCGTGTTCAGCAAAGTCAAGTAAGGGACCAGAGACGGGAGCGGGGGGTGGTGAGTAGAACTAACGAGGTGGTGGGATGCGGGAGGGCTTCTGGCACTGTGCTAGCCCCTGTCGTCAAGGCACTCAGTGTGTAGAGGCCCTGTCTGAGTAAGGGGAGGGTTGGACCTTGGAAGGTGATGAGTTCATGTTCCTGAGTTCCTGGATTTCTGTCTGACTGATCAGGGCCAAGAATGCCCGAACCATCACTTTCCAACAGTTCCAGGAAGCGATGAAAGAACTGGGCCAGAAGAAGTTCAAGGGGAAAAGCCCGGATGAAGCCCTGGAGAACATTTATAGACTCATGGAGGGCAAGGACCCAGCTACCGCCGGTGTTACTGTAAGTGAGTCTTCATTCCTGACCCCTGACCCTACTTCCCTGAGTCCCTGCTGCTCCTGTGTCCCTTCCTCCATGCCGATGTCCCTAACCCCTGCCAATAGCAGCACTGCAGGGAGATAGGGCAGAAGGCCTCTGGGCACTGTTGGTATTGAAATAGACTTTAGAGATCATCGAGTCATTTCAGAGGTGAGGAAACTGTGAGAGGAAATGACTTACCCAAGGACCACAGCTATTTTCATAGTAAAACTTAGACTCATTCCCAAGCGTCCAGGATCTGGGCCAGGCAACTAGGGCCTGGCGGCTTTGGGGGGACACTGAGTGCAGACGACTTGGTACCTGATCCTCACTCCTCTTCTTGCTCTTATGTAAGGTGAAATATCTGACTTCCTCCCTCTCGCCCGCCCTCTGCTCCCTACTTGTCCCCTCTCTACTAAAAGCTCTTCCTATTCTAGGTTTCAAATAGGGCCTTCCCAACAGGACAGACTTTGTGTTTTAGGTCTGGGGTTGAAGTCCTCTGGCTGCAGCCTAGTCAAACTAGCTCCTCTGGAAGCAGAAAAATACACACACACACACACACACACACACACACACACTTATTCCCATAAACCAGATTTCTTCCTCACAAGTGGGTGGTTCTTATTATAGTTCCTGCCTACAGCTGCACCTGGGCCCTAAGCGGCAGCACCATGCCAAGGGTTGAACAAGAGCTCTGAGAACTAGTCGAACTACTAGAAGGCCATCTCTAGAGAAGGGGCGTGACAGTGGAGGGGAAGGGAGAGGGCTCAGACGCCTCATCCTCTGGCTTGCAGAAAGCAATGACGGTGGGAGGGGTGAGCCAGCTGACGGACACCAGCAAGTACACGGGCACCCACAAGGAGCGCTTTGACCAGAGCGGCAAGGGCAAAGGCATCGCGGGACGGGAGGACATGACTGACAACTCAGGCTACGTGAGTGGCTACAAGGGTGCTGGCACCTATGATAAGAAGGGCAGCAACTAGGGAGTAGCGTCATCTTAGCCTGCCGGCCCTCGACGCTGCATCTTTAACACCGGGGAGCTTGGGGGACAATAAACATCTGTGTGTGCGGCAGCTCATGGGCTCTGTTTTCCACCAGGGTGAGGGAAGAGGGGCCCCTTGGTGCAGAGACAGAGAGAGGAGCTGAGAAACCCAAGGATGGGGGTTCTCAGCACCACACCCTTTACTCTACTTGGCCTCCCCGCCATTAGGTAGCATCCCCTTCAACAGCAGCTTCTAAGAACACGGCTGAGGAATATATTTGGAGATAAGAGAGAAGCTAGATGTGGAGGCAAAAGTATTTGCTACTTGTGTTCACATAATACTGATATCCATCCCCTTCGACCTGCCAAAGGGGAGTAGAAATTCCTGATTGGAGCTAGTAGGACCCAGGTATTAGCAACCAGACACTTCCCGGTCTCCACCTTCCTAATGTGTTGCAATGAATGTTTTGTTTGGGGAGAAATAGAAACCAGAGAGGGTGGGCCAAAGATCTACTTAGCCTAACTCCTGTTATGAGTTTATTCTAGAGCTGACGGGGAGGGAGAATCCATTTTCAACACCCAGCCTGGAACTGAGTTTTACCCCACCCCACCTCCATCATGGTAGACATGGAATGGAAGATCCTACTGACTGCCAAGGGTAGCCCAGGAAGATGGCCAGAGGTGGGTGGCCTCCAGGACTCTGAGAGCAGGAGTTCTGGTGCACTGAGGAAAAAGGAATGAAATCAGAACTAATTCAGATGTGTTTTTTTATCTTTTTATTTTGCAGTGATTCACAGGCAGATGCAAAAAGTACAGACAGGTCCCATGTATCCTTCACCCAGTTTCATCCAATGGTTATATCTTACATAATTCAGATATGGCTTTAAAACCTTCTGTGACTACAGCTGGGCCCACTTCACCCCTGCCTTGTCAGAGGCAGATTCTGGAGTTTGGGGGATGTTAGGAGGAGGTTGGGAAGTAAAAGGATGCAGGAATCTGGGGGGAATAGGTCAGAGAAGATAATTTGGAAATCCAGTGAACCAAGCTGAGACAGATGGAAGGAAAAGAGGTCAGAGAAGAATAAAGGGTGACTAAAGAGGTTGGGTGTGTAGGGGAGAGACTGCACTGGGCTCCGTGGTGGAAGGAGGACAGAAAGGACAGGTTACATGAAGAGGAAATCAGTGATTCCATAGAGAGGAACAGACTGAGAGCTCGGGGGAGGGAGCGTGGCCTGGAGAAATGAAGCTAATACGAGTCTAAGACTCTCACGGAGGTTCCTATAGCTGGAGATACCTACCATGTGGGTGAGGGAGTAGAGGGAATCATAAGGGAAAGGGGGAAGACTGAGAAGGGAAGGGCGACAGGGATGGGGATTTGAGACTCGGAACTGGTACCATGGTGTGAGCTGAGGCTCTGGGCCTCCAGCCACGATACAGGATCTGGCCCAGTAGATGGACTGTCACTGCCAACTGGACACAGTCAGCTTCTTGGGTGGGTGAAACTGTCTGTGGGAGAGGGAGGGTGGTGGCAGGAGTGATGGGGGGAGATAAACAAGTTAGAAAGAGCCTAGAAGACAGTACAACTTTGCATGGTGACCAAAGCTCTGGACATATTTCCTATCTCCCTGGTCTCTTGGGAGGGGATCCTGCCTACATTTGAAGCCAGGAAGGAAGCCTTGTACCAGGGATCAGAGCTTCAGGAGTGGGGACAGGCTGGTCTGTAGCGGCAGTAGTGGGGGCTAGTCCCATCCCTAGTAGAGGCCCATGATATCTATCGGTTCAGCATCATACTTTTGGGAGCAGAGCAGATAGAGCCTTTGGTCGGTTAAGGTGCTGGTGTAGTAACAGCTGGTGGGTGGCTGCTTGGAGCTCAGGGAGCAGATTGTTAGGGGGAAGGAGTCCTGGGTGACTGTACAATATTCATTGTAATTCTCACAGAAGCTCTCGCTGTACTTGCAGAACTTCTTGATGGCGGTCCACAGGGCATGTAAGACATAATGGATCTTTGGGCAATACCAGCTTTGTTGTCTGCCCCATACATAGGACATCAGACCATTACAGTAGCCCCGGAAACCCTTTGCGTAGTTAACCTTGGGATAGTCGATATGTAAGGTACGGAAGTTCTTGATGGCAAGCTGTAGCTGGATGTTTTCGACCAAAGCTGGCTGGAGGAACAGGAGCTGGACCACAGGTGGTGTGCCATTCTTCCTGCTGGCAGAGTTAAGGTGGTTGGAAGCAGAGGTGGGTCTCGAGTGGCTCTCCGCCCCTTCCCAGAGCTTCCAGTGTGCCCCCAGTCTCCCCTATGTGCCTTCCCCTATGCCCTCAAAGCCGGACTGTGCTTCAGAGATCATCCGGCCCAAGCCTTCATGCCTCAGAGAGAGGAGACATTTGCCCAAGGTCACCCATCTGGTCAGCCACCTCTAGCTTGGTCTACCTTAGGGTCTCAGCCTCACCCAGTCCGGGAGCTGTAACACTTACGAAATATGAGGTCCAACTGGTCCTTGGGTGAGAGACGCTTCCCCTTTATCCCTGGCCCAGTTAATCCTTCTGGTAAAAATGCAGAGAGTCCAGAAGGGACAGGCTCAGCTACACTTCTCTGACTGAAGTGGAAGGACAGGAGCTGGAGGACAGCAGGGCAGGGGTGGGATTCTTCCTTCCTGAGGCCAAGGACAGCCCAAAGGTAAGAAGAGCCTAGAAAGGTTTCTGGATGAAGACCAGTCTGAGAGGAAGGACTGTCCCCTGGGTTTGAGGAGCCCCTGTGATGACGGGGGTGGATGGGGGGGAGGAAAGAGACATTGCTTTCTGGTCTCCTCCTCTCTGGTGTCATCAGAACACTTAGTTCCAGCCTCCTTGCGAGAAGTTCCGAAGTTCTTGGGTTTCCTTTGATGTCTTCTCTGGTTCACAGGCCATGCTCCTGTGGAAAAGTGACAAGGAAAGCACCGTCATGTTCCTGAGGAACAAAGTGCTGCTTATTCCTGACCCTCAGAGAACAGAGGGTCTTCCGCTCTCTCATCCCACTCACTAGATCCCCGGAGGCCAGGTACGCAAGGGCCTCCCGCCTGAGTGTCGGGCTGAGAATCAAAGACCTCGGTGTGGACCGCTCCCCCCACCATCAACTTCACTCCAATCGTGATCACACTGACACTCTCACCTGTAAACTCAGGCCCTCTCAGAGTCACAGCACTCCTGGAAATCTATGCATGCCGACCCCGAAGCCTCAAACTTGTCAGGTGGGATTAGACAACACAGCCTGGACTTGAGGGGGTGTGGACCGCCTGTGTCCAGCTGATCTTGCTGTAGTTTGTCATGTTGGAAAAAAGGGCCAGCCTCCTAACTCTTTTTCATCAACACCTGCCCCTTCATCAGAACCAAATAGCTAGCTCCCCAGAGCCTGCCAGCCACAGTCCTTGACACCCACAGGCGTCTCAGCCTTGCCTCCATGCACCTGTTGTCCAGGTTGGACAGCTTACCATTCTCTCCCTGGAGAGCGGGAGAAGGGAGTCAAAACAGAGAATGCTGAGTGTCCCAAGGCCAGTGTGTAGTTCAGGAAGGGTGGGGGGCGCATGAGAGAGTCGCATGGGTGTTCCTCGTTCACAGCCCCCTTAAACTTGCTCTTTCTGACATCACAAAGCAGAGTCCAAAACTGAGCCCATCCTTCCCCACCTCACTTTCCCTCCTGCCTTGTCCCTTTCCTCAGTTACTTAGGCAAGAAATCTGAGAGTGGTCCTCGACCCCGCCCTCTCCTTAATCCCACCTGTTTGGAGGCGGTACCGCATGGTGGCTCAGAGCAAAGCTTTTGAGTAAAACAGACCAGGAATTGCATCCTGGCTCTACTGCTTCCAGGCTGTACACCATCAGTCTAAGTTCACTAAACCGGTATAAGCTTCAGTTTCTTCATCAGTTAATGAAGATAATATTCTGTACCTCGTGGCAGTCTTAGGATTCGTTAAGATGTATATCAAGAGCTCTTAGCCCAGGGCCTGGCACACGGTGAGTACTCAATCCGAGCATGAGTCCATCAGTCACGCAGCTCTGACAATCTTTTTTTTTTTTAATTAATTCTTTAAAAATATTTATTTATTTGTTTAGCTGCGCCAGGTCTTAGTTGCGGCGTATGCGATTTTCGTTGTGGCATGTGGCTCTTAGTTGTGGCTTGCGGGATCTAGTTCCCTGACCAGGGATTGAACCCAGGCCCGCTGCATTGGGAGCACAGGGTCTTAACCACTGGACCACCAGCGAAGTCCCAGCCCTAACAATCTTAACTAAAACTTTTCCCGAACCAGTCTCTTCCGTTCCTATTTCTTCCCCTGCTCAGGCTTTCCCCTCTCCTGGACACCACACACTCTCCAACTCCAGGAGGACTCTACACCTCATAGGACAGAAGACCTCCATGACCTGGCCGCCATCATGTCTCCAACTGCATCTCCATCTCTGCCTGCTTCCCCCAGTGGTGCCCACCACCTCTCGCTCACGTTATCTCCTCTACCCAGCATGCTGCTCTCTCTTCCCGCTCTCACCCCTGTCAGTTCCGCTGGGCCAGCTCATGTGAAGATCAGCCCGGACGTCCTATTTAAGAAGCGTCTGCTCAGGGCACCTCCCCAGGGAAGTGTGCACAGCCAAGTAAGTGAGGATAAAGCCCACACAGGCAGGTGGCTCATCTGTATCCTTCAGGCTGGTGTATCAGCCAACACCCGGTGGGAATCCATGCAGGGTGGTGCCAGAGCCCGGCTGACTCAAGTCTTTGGTTTGAGGAAGCTACTAGCACTTTGTGGCCCCAGACTCAGAGTGTGCTACCTCTTCCTTATTTGCTCAAGGCTGCAGCTTCCCTTGGAAGAGAAAGGGGCTTTTCATGCTTCTTGGTCTTCTTTCTTCATTCCTACCCACCCACCACCGCTAACCTCTGCACACAGTGTTACAGAGATGGAACAGCACATAGTAAAGAGTTTAGGACTTGATCTCAGATAACCTACTGAGCTTCTGTTTCCTCTTCTATAAAATGGAAGCCTTCCTTACCTCATGAGGCTGCAAGAATAAAATGAGATGGTCAATATGGAGGTGACTTTTAGCCATTAAACAATATATAAATGGAAAACTGGATATGGTCTCCTAGGTCTTATAACAACTCACTTTTTTCTCCAACTCACTTAACATCTGCAAAGCCTTCTTTTTAAAATTAATTTATTTTATTAATTTATTTTTGGCTTCATTGGGTCTTTGTTGCTGTGCATGGACTTTCTCTAGTTGTGGCAAGTGGGGAGTACCCTTCCTTGCATTGTGCAGGCTTCTCATTGCAGTGGCTTCTCTTATTGCAGAGCACAGGCTCTAGGCGTGCGGGCTTCAGTAGTTGTGGCACATGGGCTCAGTAGTTGTGGCTCGTGGGCTCTAGAGCACAGGCTCAGTAGTTGTGGTTCATGGGCTTAGTTGCTCCGTGGCATGTGGGATCTTCCCAGACCAGGGCTCAAACCCGTGTCCCCTGCATTGGCAGGCGGATTCTTAACCACTGTGCCACCAGGGAAGCCCTGTAAGGTCTTATATTCCCCAAATGAGCCAAGTGACCTCCCCACATCCCCACTCTGCCAATCTAGAGCCCTCTTTAACACCTGACTTAAAATTCATCTTCACCAAGCTTTCTATTAGTCATGCCCCACGTTGATTACTTTTAAATACTTTAAATTGCTGAATACTATCTGAAAACACTATGACAAATGTTGGGGAAAATAGAAAGGTAAATAAGACAGTTCCAGTCCAGATTAAATTTACAATTCAGTAGGAACAACACACGTATGAACATATGTTACAAAGGCATGAGCATGGGACCAGGAAAAGTGCTGAGTGTGCGATGGCCTTCAGGTTCCAACCTACAGTCCTACTGGTCTGGTCTTTAAAATCCTATCCCAGAGGAGCTGATCCATAGGATTGCTTCATCCATTCTGACAAAGCCTGAGATTTGTGGAATTGTTACCCCATTATACTGGACTTTACATATGCAAGAATCATCCTAGAGATGAAGAAACTAAGTTTTAGAGAGGGATGGTAGCTTGCTTGAGGTCATATGTCTAATTCAGTGGTTCTCAACGGGGAGCAATTGGATCACATCTGGAGACATTTTTTGGTTGTCACAACTGGGAGGTGCTACTGGCATCTAGTGGGTAGAGGCCAGAGATGCTGCTCAACATCCTACATTGCACAAGACGGCTCCCACAGCAAAGAAGTATCCAGACAAAAATGTAGATTGTGCTGAGGTTGAGAAATTCTGGCCTAATGAGAGAATCAGATTTCCTAGCAAAAGCAGACTTATTTATACTTTATATATTGAAAAGGATTGGTAAATATCCAAGACTTAGAAATATTTTTGTTAGACTTTGCTTGTGATGGTGCTGGTTCTTCTACCAGCAAAAGGATTATTGATAGTTCATCATTGCAACAACTTTTTGTTATTTTTCCCGTAGAAGTGACTTTCTGCATATAGCCGTCTACACATTCTTTCCCTCCTCCCCTCCCCAATGGTAGGATTTCTAGAACCACTGGCTAGAGTGACAAGTGCAGGGATGATTCCCTATGATTGAGGGGGTGCCCCAAGATTTTGCCCCACGTGAGCTCACTACAACCTCAGTGGCATCACTTTTGCCCTGTCCAACTCACATTGTTCAAATAGCAAACTGTGTCCTGGGTTCTCCTTGAACCCAAAGGATTGCTTCAGCCATTTCAACCTTCTTGTCATAGGTTCACCTCCACCCCAGGGTTAAAGTTCAGGAGGTGCCTTGTTAGTTCCTCAACTGGGACTGGGATCATTCAAGGGCAGAATGAATGCCTTCTAACGTAGAATTTGAATCATTTAGGGTCCCTTATATGCAAGGCACTATGCTACATCCTGTGGGAGGTACAGAAGTAGTATAACAGATGGTCCTTGTCTTCTGGGAATTGACAGTCTAAACGGGAGGAAAGCAACACATATATATGAAGAAATAACCAATGATTCAAGGCAGAAAATTATACATCTTGAAGACAGTAAATGTTGTAGGAATTTAGAGGTGAGAGAGATCCCTCTGAATTAGGAGGGTCAGAGAAAGTTTTCTGGGGAGAGAGGGAGTCACCTGGGACCTCGGGATGCATCTCAAGGAACAGTTGAGTTAAGTGGAGATAAAGAGAATTATGAAAGGTATGTTTGAGGAAAGAGAGAAAACCAGCCTGGCTGGGGTTGAGGCAATCAGTGGGAGAAAAGTCAGAGATAAAGTTAGAAAGACGGGTTTGCCAGATTACGGCAGACCTTGAATATCAGGCTAAGGAATTTATATTTTATTCTAGAGATAAATGAGGAACTGGCAATGGCTTATGAGACAGAGTGACCTGGTGAGGCCTCTCAACCCCAGACCAGGTCCCCCAGTGCTACATCCTGGCTTGTCTAAAGGCATTGGTCTGGGAGCCAAAGATTCCAACTTTCTGTCCCTGCTGCTTCCTCCAGATCCACAGCTGTTCCAGGAAAGGTCATGAGAATTCAAAGACCCAAAGTGAATCCCACATCTGACCCCGACTTGCTGTTTTTTTCACTTTCCCCGTCTACAAAAATGAGTCCACTACCTTTATTTATCCTGGGAGCAACACAATCAGGATAACAGAACTTGGATCTGCTCCTGCTTGGAGGGAAACTCTCACGGGCTTTCCATCGCTATCCAGAGGCTGTGTGGAACTCTGGAAGAGAGAGAGGCTGGGCTCTGAAGGGTGGGCACCAATCCAGGCTTGGCCCTCGTCTCTCCCAGCCCCCCTCACCCCCTCCCAATGCAGGCTAGAGGAAGTAGCAGCTGTGGTCCTGAGGGGAAGACAGGCAGAGGTCCACCTGGCACTATTGGCATTTTCACAACACCCACCCGAACAACTTTAAACACACACACACACACACACACACACACACACCAGCAGCAGCAGCCTGGGGAGAGGTTAGGCCAAGAGCAGTGACTATGCCGCTAGAAGGAGAAGGAGGCTGGGGAGCTACCTCACATCCCTGGATAGAGGCTGCCATGTGAGGGGCTTTCTTCCCTCCCATCTTCTCTCCCACCATTTTTTTTTTTTTTCAGTACGTGGGCCTCTCACTGTTGTGGCCTCTCCTGTTGCGGAGCACAGGCTCCAGACGCACAGGCCCAGCGGCCATGGCTCACAGGCCCAGCCACTCCGCGGCATGTGGGAACTTCCCGGACCGGGACACGAACCCGTGTCCCCTGCATTGGCAACCACTGCGCCACCAGGGAAGCCTGTCTCCCACCATTTTGTCTTCTGCTCTCCCTTCTTTAATTTTTCTCTTCTCTCTTCTGCCAGACTCCCTGCCCAGTCCTTGGCCTGATGCCTGACTCCTTTTGTTCTCCCTAACCCTGTTCCCCTTCCTCCATCCTTTCCTGTCGCCCTATGAATGTAGCGAAGGAAACGTGGCAAAATTATCCTACCGAGTGCAAAGTGAAGTGGATCTTGGAAGCTGGATAGTTTCAGCGAAAAAATAAACAAAATCACCTGCCTTATCCAAATAATGGAGGTGAAATAAGGGTTTCAGCTTGAACTGTGCAAATAGTAGGTTCGACTTTTCAGTTTTCACACGCAAACCTAACCCTTTACTCCCTCTTCCCTTTGAACTGGGACAGCATGGCTGTGTTTACTTTCACAGAGCACTAAGGAAGCCTTCTGGAGAACCCCGCATGATGAAGTTAAAGGGCAAACTGGGATAATTATAATGACAGGAAAATACAAGAGCAGAGGGCAGTTCAAGCCATGGTTTGGAAACATCTCACCCTAGAATAATGAGAAGTGAGGAGGAGTCCGGGCAGGCGAGGAATCCAAATGAGGTCCTGGCCTCCCACCCACTCCTCTCACCCCAGCCTCCAGTCCAGGGCTGGCCTGATCCACATTCTGTCCACAGTCTGCTTTAAACCATGGATTTTATCTCCAAACATTTGCATTTCTACAGCAGCAGAGGCATAATTCTCTACCCAGAAGTTCCAACTACAAAGATTCAGGCACCTGAACAAAGCAGTGAATGCTGCACCCCAGCCAAGGCCTCACAGAGCGGGAACCAGAGGAGCAAGAGGCCTGTGTGAACTGGCTCCTGCTTCTCTGTTGCCACCTAGTGGTGCTTCTCCCTCCAACACCATTTTTTTATTCCAAAGATACTTCATCCTGACCCACAGCTGTGCTCTCTATCTGCTAAAATGATGTCCCCTGACCTCAAAACAAACACCCATCTTCCTGACTCAAAATCCTAACTTCTGGACCGGAACACAAACTGTATGACCCATATGGTTTGCGTGGGCCTCTCTGCAGTCACATCCATGCAACAGCCAGGGTTTTTTTTTTTTTGGCTGCGTTGGGTCTTCGTGGCTGCGCGTGGGCTTTCTCTAGTTGCGGAGAGCGGGCTCTAGGCGTGCGGGCTTCAGTAGTTGTGGCACGTGGACTCAGTAGTTGTGGCTCGTGGTCTGTAGAGCGCAGACTCAGTAGTTGTGGTTCACGGGCTTAGTTGCTTCGTGGCATATGGGATCTTCCCAGGCGAAGGCTCAAACCCGTGTCCCCTGCATTGGCAGGCGGACTCTCAATCACTGCACCACCAGGGAAGTCCCACAGCCAGGGTATTTTTAAACAGATAGGGCTTTTACTCCTCCTCTTTTTTTTTGGCCATGCCGCACGGCTTGTGGGATCTTGCAGGATCCCAGTTCCCCAACCAGAGATTGAACCTGGGCCATGGCAGTGAAAACCTGGAATCCTGACCACTAGACCACCAGGGAACTCCCTTTATTCCTCTACTTAGAACCCTCCTAGGGCTCCCCACTGTGTGCACAGCAAAACTCCTAATGGTCTCTGAGGCTTCCCATGATCTAGCCTCTGGTCCCTTTCCGACCCCATCACTCATCCGCTCCAGCCACACTGGACTCCTTACTGTCCCTCCAACTCCCCAGGCATCCATCTGCTTTAGGGCCTTTACAGTGCTGTCCTCTATGCTTGGAGCATTCTTCCCCAGACAAGCATAAGTTCACTCTCACCTTGAAATCTTTGTCCCAGAGTCACCTACTTCAATGACCCTATTTAAAAATCACTGCCTGAACACTCTTTGACATAAATCGCAGCAAGATCTTTTTTACCACCTCCTAGAGTAATGAAAATAAAAACAAAAATAAACAAATGGGGACTAATGAAACTTAAAAGTTTTGCACAGCAAAGGAAACCATAAACAAGAGGAAAAAATACTCAGAATGGGAGAAAATATTTGCAAGTGAAGCAACTGACAAGGGACTAATCTCCAAAATATACAAACAGCTCATGCAGCTCAATATCAAAATAACAAACAACCCAATCAAAAACTGGGAGGAAGACCTAAATAGATATTTCTCCAAAGAAGACATACAGATGGCCAACAAACACATGAAAAGCAGCTCAACAACACTAATTATTAGAGAAATGCAAATCAAAACTACAATGAGGTATCACCTCACACTGGTCAGAATGGCCATCATCAAAAAATCACAAACAGTAAATTCTGGAGAAGGTGTGGAGAAAAGGGAACCCTCTTGCACTGTTGGTAGGAATGTAAATTGATATAGCCACTGTGGAGAACAGTATGGAGGTTCCTTAAAAAACTAAAAATAGAATTACCATATGATCCAGCAATCCAGCTCCTGGGCATATACCCGGAGAAAACCATAATTCAAAAAGATACGTGCACCCTAATGTTCATTGCAGCACTATTTACAATAGCCAGGACATGGAAGCAACCTAAATGTCCATCAACAGAGGAATGGATAAAGATGATGTGGTACACATGTACAATAGAATATTACTCAGCCATAAAATGGAACAAAATTGTGCCATTTGCAGAAACATGGATGGATCTAGAGACTGTCATACAGAATGAAGTAAGTCAGAAAGAGAAAAACAAATATTGTATATTAATGCATATATGTGGAATCTAGAAAAATGATATAGATGAACCTATCCGCAAAGCAGAAATAGAGACACAGATGTAGAGAACAAATGTATGGATACCAAAGGAGGAAGGGAGGGGTGGGATGAATTGGGAGACTGGGATTGACATATATACACTACTATGTATAAAATAGATGACTAATGAGAACCGACTGTATAGCACAGGGAACTCTACTCACTGCTCTGTGGTGACCTAAATGGGAAAGAAATCCAAAAAAGAGGGGTTATAAGTATAGCTGGTTCACTTTGCTGTACAGTAGAAACTAACACAATACCATAAAGCAACTATACTCCAATGAAAAATAAATAAAAATAAAAATCACTGCCTACTAATCTCCATTTGTTCTTTTTTCCTTAGCAATGGTGTATTTTTTACTGCCTTTCCTCCAATGAAATGTAAGGATTCCAAAGGTAGGGATTTTTGTATCTTTTATTCACTGATATATCCCAAGCACCTTGGCACATAGTAGATGCTCAATAAATATTGACTACGTGAATGAGCCTGAACCCACTATTCTGAGACCACCTACTACTTACAGGTGCAACCTGAAAACAAGAACACTGTTCGCCTCAGTTTTCCAGGCCTTCCCATCCACAGATAGTGATGCTTCTCTTCCTCAGTGTCTCAGTTCTTCTGAGTCTCCCGTGCCAAGCTCACTGGAGCTGCCGGAGCAGCACGGACCCAAGCTCTCCGCACAACTGTAACTGCCACAAGCAACGGGGAATACACAGTAGAGGAAGGTCTAGGCTGGCTGTAGAGCACACCACCACCAATAGCATTTTCAAATTAGGACACTAAGCGTTGCAAATTTTAATAAAGTAGTAAGGGAAAGAGTGAAGGGTGAGAGGTGTTGGGCGCCATCTCCAGGTAAAGCCAGATGACCTTGCTTGACCCTGGAATGGGAGGGACCCAGAGGGATGAATCATTGTAGAATAGCTGAGGTGGGATGGTGCTGTGACTTGTGACTCTGGTGATTGGTCCACTTCCCTGTCTCCTCCATCTCCTCCAAAAGATCAGCAGTAAGTCCTGATGACAGGAAGTAACTTTCTAGGCTATTCCATCTTTATCTCGGATTAGAAAAAGCAATCCTTACCACCACAGTGATTGGCTCTTCCCAGAATCAGAACCAGAGGTGTATATATAGGAGATGATAAATGGCAGCTCTCATTTGGGGTTGACACCTGAGTCAGGTGCCTTATTAGTCATTAGAACCATGTGGCTAGGGGCCAGGTCTAGCCTTTGAGTGTGAGGATTCAGGCTTCAAGCTTCCTCACTGCTGAAGATGTTTAGGCAGATGTACTAGCTCCACAGGTATCCGCTTACTTGGGACATGTAAGTGAAGAGGCATGAACCTGGTTCATTTCCTGATCCACGGCTACTCCCCAGCCTGCCCCCACACAGAAGCACCACAAGCCAGGCCAGCTCTTAAGGAGTTCGGTGGTGAGAAGAGGCCCTCAGACATCTGAGGCCCGGCGGAAGGCAGGTGCGTCCCGGTGAGCAGAAGCCACAACACGAGGATTTGGGGAGGAGGTAAGGCCTGTGGCGGGACATGAGTGAGGAGAGAGGACAGGGAAGGGATGGGTTCTGGCCAGAGAACAGTATACTCAGGTGAGTGACAAGGTGGACAAAGGAGGGACTCAATGTGGAGGGGGTGAGTATACACACAGGGGAGAGAAGAGAGAGATGCTGAGGGATGGAGGCACAAAATGGGGCTATGGAGGAGATGGGGATGGGGTCATGGAGGGCGTGAGACACAGAGAAAGGAATAAGGACATAGGGACATGGGGACACAGAGGGATGGACCTGAGGGAGAGGAGATAGAGCAAGGAGTGGGAGGCATGAGGGACAGAATGAAGGAGGATAGGGATTCAGGGTGAGGGGGATGGAGCCCTAGGGTTAGGGGGTGGGGTCTTAGTGGTTTGGGGCACAGGGAGGGGAAGGGAGGGGAAAGACACAGGGTGAGGGAGGAAGGAGACAGCAGGGGAGGGAGATGGTGATTAGCTAGAAGGAGCAGGTTTAGCAAGGCTAATTTCCACCTCCTCTGTGCCCAGAGACCCCAGCCCTCCCTTCTGACTGTTCCCCCTAAGAGAGATGGCACCAGCCAGAGCAGGATTCTGCCCTCTGCTGCTGTTCCTGCTGCTGCGCCTGTGGATGGCCGACAACCCAGTCGGTGCCAAGCCCAGAAACATGACCTCAGCTCGGTGGTTTGAAACTCAGCACGTGCAGCCCAGGCCTCAGAGATGCAACACGGCGATGCAAAACATCAACAAGTACTCCAATCGCTGCAAAGGCCTCAACACCTTCGTGCGTGAATCCTTCTCCGGTGTGGCCGCCACTTGTCAGACGCCCAGCATAACCTGCAAGAGAGGCCGTAAAAACTGCCACCGGAGCCAGAAGCCTGTATCCCTGACCATGTGTAACCTCACCTCAGGGAGGTACCCAGACTGCAGGTACAAGGAGAAGCAACTGAGTGCTCCTTACATCGTGGCCTGTGACCCTCCCCAGAAAGGGGACTCTAGGAAATTCAAGCTGGTTCCTGTCCACCTGGACGATGTCCTTTAGGTTTCCAGCCAGCCACGTGCTTGGGCCGCACCTTAAATCCCTCTGCAGGCCTCTGGACCACTCCTCCTCAGCCCAGAAAGTTCTCTTCTGACATCTCTTGGGGCCCTTCCTAGCTCAGGCTCCTCTGTGAGGGTGGGGCTGTGGGGAGTTGAGGTGATACATTAGTAGGCTAAACTCCAGAAGAGATGGCGATCTCTCAACTTTTCATTGCTGTTTTTTCATTAGCTTAGGGGTGTGGGTTCCTTGGTCTGTGCCTCCTACATCTTTCCCCTACCCCATCTTCTCACGGCAGCATGACGAGAGGAGGAAAGAAATGGAAAAGGAGTGTAGGGGATTTATGGCGAGAGCCACTCCTATTCCTAAACTAGGCCTCTTCCCCAGCTCTGATTGGCAGTGACGTGGCTTGTGGGCAGGGAGGTGGCCTGAAGGCAAGAAGACAAAGCAGCACCACTTCATATTTACATAGCATTTCATGCTTTTCACAGTGTGTCCACGTGACTCCCTTGTGAGATAGACATGACTAGGATTACTCATCTTGTTTAGGGACGAGGATGTTGAGATTGCAGAAAGAGTTGTTAATTAAAGAGCTTGTCAGGTTGGTTAGTAGCAGCAGCTGGACTTTAAAGTAGAAAGCGCATTTTCTACTTTACCACTGGGCGGAAAAGGAGAGTCCTCTGCAGGGACCACAGGGGAACCAGGTAAGATTTCACCAGTGAAACAATGTCCCGAGAGCTCTGAAGAGCCAGTTACCCCATGTTGGCTGCAGTAAAGGTCATTACCTCTCTAGCCAAGGGACTGTTTATGAGATGCTCCAAGGATCTTAATTCTCTCTCTCTCTCTCTCTGCCCCACCCCACCTCTCTGCCGTTCCCCTTCTCTAGTCCACTGCTCTTCCTTCCGGGGCCCTGGGCCTGGCTCTGGCTTGATTGCCTATAGCCCTGAAGGCACAGTGTCAGGGGAGTGTCCCAACTTCATCTCCCTGCTCTGGGATCACATTTCCCTTGACCTCAAGGGACTTCGTGGCCCAGTGCCCGCTTGTCACAAACAAGCTGGTGGGAGCTGCCAGAGCTTCCTTCCTCCCGATAAATGATCTCTCCTGCCTTGGTGCTTCCCTGGCTCTCTGCTCTGGCAGTCCGCCCAGACCGGAGGGGTTGAGATGTGGAAATGCCATCTCCCCGTCCTCCCCCCGACCCCTCCAAACCCCGCCTGCAGACACCACTTCTCCCTTCCTGGTGAGCAGAACTGGAGAAGCTATGGCTTTATGTAGACTCGGTCCTGATAGCTTCCCACTCCTAGCTCACACCCAGCATTGCCTGCAGCCTTGACCGTCACCAGCCCTTTCTCTCTTCCTTAATCTCAGTCCCAGACAAACTGCACTAAGCCCCATGCCCGCCCCACGCCCACCCTACTTGAGCACCCAAATACTACCTTGTTAGACCTTCCCTTCCCAGCTGTGGAGTCTACTCTCTACCTATCCCTCTCCCACACTCCAGTGCTCCCTTAATGCCTTACCAGAGTCAGAGTAAGCTTTGGAGCCAGATACCATTGGGTGTAAATCTTGGCTCAGTCCTTTGTGGCTACATGACCTCAAGAAAACTGCACCTCTTTGCAACTATGTTTCCATATATGGGAGTAATACTACCTACCCAACAGGATTTCAGGAAGATTTAGAAATGACATTTATGAGGCCTTAGTCAAACCCAGGCACTGATAAGCATTCAGTAATGATAGCTAGCTGTAGGTAACAGTAGGAATAGCCCTGTCCAGTCATATTCACCTTTGGCAAACACACAGATAACCCTTTGGCAAATACCCCATTCAATTCTCCTTGAGGTCTTTCTTCTGCTAGAATGATGTTTATGAGTAGGCTGGAGAATAAGTCTGCAGGCAGAGTCCTGCTAGGTGGGCTGGGTGGTTTGAGATGGTGAGGAGAGAAGGTAGAGAAGGGATGATGAAAAGAAAGGGGAGCAGAGCATTGAACAATTCAATTCAAGCAGAGTGAGGGGCCAATACGTTGATGAGTCTTGAAAGTAGAGGGGCAATAAGTATACTTTATAGCCAAATGCCAAATGACTGAATGTAAAATCTATATATCCTGTGGTCACTGTACTGGACATAATTAATTCTAAATACATGATTTTCAACTGAGGTGCATAGAAAACCAAGTCTCTTAGGGGTAGCTGATTTTTCTTTTCACTTTATTCTTTCTTCACAACTCTTTTTTTTATTCTTTTTTTTTTTTTTATTCTTTATTGATGATATTTCTTATGGTGTTATGGTTTTGGAGACATCCTCCTCACAAACTTTTTAAGTGGATAAAATTATGCTTTTTTTTTTTTTTTTTTGCGGTACAGGGGCCTCTCACTGTTGTGGCCTCTCCCGTTGCGGAGCACAGGCTCTGGACGCGCAGGCCCAGTGGCCATGGCTCACGGGCTCAGCCGCTCCACGGCATGTGGGATCTTCCCGGACCGGGGCACGAACCTGTGTCCCCTGCATCAGCAGGCGGACTCTCAACCACTGCGCCACCAGGGAAGCCCTAAAATTATGCTTTTAATGTATCCTCTCGAAATAAGAATTTCCAAATATGGCTTTTTCTTTAAATACTCATGATCTAAATAGTATTAAATAACTTAACATTAAACATAATTCTAAAGCAATCTATGGTGTGGTGATAGCGGTCAGAATAGGGGTAACCTTGGGAAGTGCTAACTGGCAAGGTGTAGGAGGTAAGCTGGAAATGTTCTATTCTTGCTCTAGATATGCTTACTTTGTGAAAACTCATTGAGCTGTACACTTAAGATTTGTGTACTTTACTGTAAGCAAATTATACCTCAATTTAAAAATCTTCCTAAAAAAGTACAGTTTTTAAGGATTAGTTTGTTTAACATGAGAAATGCTAATATATCAATTCACAAAGATTATAATATAATGAAATCATGGACTCATGATCTAATCTAATTTCTATTGTTCTGCTTTGTACTATTTGTTAAATTAAATAGTAGTTGTGCTAATTATTAAATTGTTGTAAATATTTTTGGTTCAAAAAGTATATAAGGTTTTTTCCTAAAGTTATCCAGCTAATCCATGCTCTTCTATTAGTTGTATAACTGTCAACTAATTTTCCTATTTAACTATGTGAAAATTCTTAATAAAATTTATATGTAGTATAAGCTTTTACAACCATTAATTATTACAACATTTTTCTTAAAATAATAAATATGCATTTATATTTCCCCTGACTGATAGGATTTCAACATTTTTAAAGTTCATAAGGAGAATTTCACTTCCAGTCACATTCAGAGTACTCACCAATATCTGAAAGAGATTATTCAGATATTAACAATGAACCCAAATGACCTGCCTTGTTTTCATACAGATGCTTTAACAGATTAGATTTGACAGTCACCCATTCCTTCACATGATCCTGATCACAGCCAAGTTCAGGGATGCCAGGAATTATGTTGAAATAAGCATTTGGCTATTCGGCCTTTCAAAGGCTGAAGCTGAGGTTCAAAATGAGTAACAGGTTTGCGCCAGTTACCAAGGCTGCATCTTGATACATTCCTACTTAAAGGCTGAAAAATGGGAAAAGGAGACTGATTAGTTATGAGATTTCTGTTGCTGGGGGTGGGAGCTTGGAGTGGGGGAGGAGGGTGTCTAGGGGAGTATTGCCCAGCCTTGTGTAGATGGCTCTAAAGAGAATTGTTTCGACCTGGATCTAAGGAGCAGAAACAGAGTCCTGTAAAGAATGTAACCCAAGAACTGGAGCTAGTGTGAACTAGCTTTCTAGGAGTGAGACTATCTGAGATAGCCTAGGTAGGATACTTTTCTACATGACCCTAGTTCCCAAATTCTCCATACTCTGAAGAAAATGACCCATAGACACTATGAAGAGGACCAGCTGAGTCAACAGAGAGAGAAGGGTCCTGATCTCAAGGGCAGCGTGTAGGAAGAGGAAGTGCCCTTGAGTCTGGAACCCTTTTGCTCACATTGATTCAGACAGACCTCTTCATAGTGTCTCTGGCCCTACCAAAAGGGCTTCGAAGACTCCAGATCCTCATTTTGAAGTCCTCCTCCTACACCACCCGCCCACCCCCACCCCCGCATTCTGCCATGGAGAGATAGAAAGAGCAGTCAGAGCTCTTACCAGGATGTGTTCCTGTGCAGGACTCCAAAGCCAGTAAGCTTGGGAGCATCCATGAAGCCACGGGGGCATGAGAAAACATTGCTAGTGAGGTCTTGTAGGAAGTCCACAAGAGGTGAGATAAGGAAAGATGTCTACCCATAATGGAAATACACCCATGATGAAAAGTCCTCTTGATTTAGAGAGATTGGAATTTCCTCATCTATGCAAAGGTCACCTACTTCATAGAGTATTATACAGATTAATGTGACAACATATATAAAGGGCTTAGTACAGTGGCTGGTGTGTAGGAAAAGTTTGAGAGATGTAATCATTTATATTTATTACTGTGATGTCAAACGTTGAGAGGCCAAACCTGTGATGGATGGAGCAGGCCTGACTTCCATGACAGAAGAACCAGGGACCTAAACAAAGGAGGCCAAACTCCCCCTCGGCCTCCTCTTGCCAAAAAGAACTTCCCAGCCAAGAGTATATAAGGTAGGGTTCAAGGTCAGACAAAAAGGACAATATGTATTAATTTCTCTAGGTAAGGTAATTTGGAGTGGGGTGGGTAGGGGCAATGCTTTCAATTAGAGGGGGAACAAAGGCTACTGAGTATTTATATTAAGACTACTTAAGGGGGTTTTTCTCATCTCTACCTTCCATGAATCCAGAGATATGGAAAGAAGGCAGAGGATTTAGGGCCACTAACTTTTGAGGGTGTCCTCCTTACCAGCTCCTCTCCAAAGGGTTCAACTGTCACGGCAGCTGATGGAGAGAAAGCTCTAGTGACATTTCCAACTTCCCCTCCTGAGTCATTTAAACTAGTCCTTAGGTAAGCTTACTGTCCCTTCACCTCCCTTGCGGAAGGTCACTTGTATTTTTCTCACCCTCTGATTCAGCTCCATTTCCTAGTTTGTCTTCCATTACACAAGACTACCACCAATGGTGGTCCACTGCTTTCCAATGGATTGGTTACAATGGGAAAACATCACACTTGTTACTTTCTTCACGTAGAAACTTAGTTGAAGTTACACATTTAAAACATAAACTGTACACCTGAAATTAACACAACATTGTAAATCAACACAACATTGTAAATCAACTATATTTCCATTATAAACAAACAAACAAAACAAACAAGCAAACAAACTGACCTAGTGAGAATCAATACAAATTCCTGCTTGGGCCATGGCATTTAGCACAAGACAGAACTTCACATCTGCATAGCTTTAGGCTCTTTCAGTAGATATTCATAAAATCATGTCTTAAGAGATTGTATCCAGTGACCTCAGAGATCATCTAGTCCTCCCCTCCGCATTTTGCAAATGAGAAAAATAAGACCGAGGGGACCCAAGATCACATGATTAGTTTAAGTGAGAATTCAGGTTTCTTGAACCAGTCTAGTGATGTTCCCAAAGTGTCATTCTAGTTAATGGTCCCAAATGGATCTCAGACATCTTCCAAGGTCAAACTCATTATACCTGGACTGGCAAATCAATCAGCAAATGGGCAGGTTCCCAGATTGAGACAAAAGCATGTTCATTCAAGAAAGAGTGTTCAGTGCCCATGATCCTGAGGTGTTTACATTTCTGCCTCTCACTTGTGGACCACATCCCCTTCACCTGAATGCTCACATTGTATCAGTGAGATGGAAAAAAAAGTAGCACCCA